ATCCTGGGCACTTCTCACTGTACCAAGTCCTGCAGGATGTTGCTGGGAAAGTCCCCTGCAACACCATCAATTAATCAACAGGAATTCAGTCTTATCAGATGGTGTCTATAGAAGGTAGGGATGTCTCTTCCCAAAGTTTATTATTACAGATTTACCCAAAGGGTGGAGTGGAAGGACAATTCACTGCAGGTCCCTACAAAGCAAACCCACTCTTTCTCAACTACTCCAGGAAACATAGGACCGCTTATAGCAGGCAGCTATAAGACCCTAACTCCACCTTCATCCCAACCTACATAACTCTTGGGGGGAAGGGGGAGGGAGGGCAGGCTCTGTTGCCTCTGTTCATACATATTACAGTATACACTCAGATACCAGAATAGTTGTGGGGTAGCAGATTTATGCACTCTTGATTCATTAATAAAGAATACAAATATAGACAAACACTTGATTCTTAATATAACTTAAAGAAGGTCACAGATGGAAAACTTCCTATCCATCTCATCCCTGTGACATCTGATCCCTGCTCTGAAAAGCCTCTTTGTGGTGGATGAGGTGGAAGGGAAACGATTAGGACTACTAAATCTTGGCAGAAGTATAATCCAGATGACCACTAGAAGACAGCAGAGAGTTACGATTTTCTCTATGTCCATGCTACCATCTAGTGGTGATCCAGACTGTTGCAGTCTAGATGTGGTAAGCCAATAAAGGATCCATGAATTTATCCCTTTCAGCAGCCCTTTACATTTCATCCCACTTTGCACAGGAGGACCACAGTGCTTTGGGAACACAGTGGGCTGCAACAGGGAGGAGGGTACTGAAAATTGTATTCCATTAACTTAGAACCCCATCCTTTTTATAGGATCCAGCTCCTTGCCAGTAGGTTAGTGACTGCAGAACTAGCTATGTACAGATTAATGTAGAGGGGGAGAAGAATTGACTAAGTTCCAGGTCATAAGGGCTAATTCCCAGTGTCCCTACTAACAATATTTCAATCTAAATAGATTTAAATTATTTATTAATAAGTAATATAATTATTAATGTTTCATAATTTTCAGCAGAAAAATTCCCCCAGAAATTTTGCCAGATGCAAAAGCATTGTCAATAGAGTAAGATGCCCCACTGCAAGGCACTCGTTCTTTAATAGTTAGAGAACATTCACAAGGATTTCAGCAGCTCCAAAAAAGAGGTCCTTTGTAGAGGAATGTAGTGGTATTTTCTTAATCTGTTCGCAACAGCTATATTAAAGAGAGCTTACAGCTGGGTAGTCGTCTACAGACATTTCCTCCAGGCATAATCCCTCAAAAATGAACCCATGCCAAAAGCATTTCTCATTCCCCTTCCCCAACCATTAAGAGAGGAGATAGGTATTAACAAAGTACCCTCCTCCTATTTTCTCCACAACAACAACCCTCTCACCCAAATGGCACTCTCTCTGAGCCCAACCCATCTCACAGGGTGGTGGTTGTTGTTGTTATGGGGAAAAAAGGGAAGAGGGAACATTGTTTATTAACCAAGTGTAAGTGAAGCTTTTAGTTCAAAGCACCTTTTCAACCCCCCACCCTCAGCACTGCAAATGAAAGCCAAATAGAGGTGAGCAAATTGCACATTCAATACTCAGTATATAAAGTGAAGCTGGATTTCCACAGAACCTCCACACAGGACACAACCAATGCTGAGAGACTGAAAGGGACGTGGAGAAACCAATCAAATACATGCAATAAAAGGCTATGGCTAACTTTCTCATCTTTTCAGAAAACTAAGTTTACCTGCATCTCCTTTCCCTCTCAATCCCATCTGCTGAGATATGGTGCAGAGCGCTTTAAATGGTGGCGGGGAAGAGAAATTAATAAAAAATCACCTCTGTTAACTGAGTGGAGGAATAATTTGTGAGATCTAACAATGGCTGGATTCTGATTCAGATTTTATGCTGGTAGAGTAAAGTAGCATTAAGTGTGGTCCATATGTATTTGTGGGTGTTAAGACTAACTTAACAGCCAGTTAACTGGTAAGCTCTGAAATGTCTGTGTTGGCAGAAAGAATATTTGCCTGTCATAAAACCATGAGAATCAATATATGACTTGTTTCTGCTGAACAATCACTGCCAAACATTTGAAGTCTGATCAAACATACGATGCAGTTATTGCTGGCTCTTGGTTCTGATAGTTTGCTGAATTCCAATATGGTTTGAGAAATCATGAGACAAACAGCTGGACTGAAGTGAACAGCTAGGAGAAACCAGACTTGTCCTCTTAAGGGAAACATTATAACTTTAGGGTCACTTTAGCTTGCAAAATGGGTTTCTTCTGGCAGAGGGGCTCCTCCTGCATTAACAAGTATATTGCTTTTTCAGGGGGTCAAAGGGTTTTGTATAGAGAAATTTTCCTAATTTTACAGGAACCTAGAGCTCCAGCACCACCAAACCAAAGATGCCAATTTATACACTGCCAAAAGAAAGATCATAAAATCATAGGACCGCCCCCCCAAAAAAAGTGTAACCATAGATGCAAACATACGACGACTTATTAGAATGCAGATTTCATAAAAGCAAGCCAATTTCCCATTTAAATTACCTCAGAGTGTAAGAACAGCTGTGCTAGATCAGGCCAACCCCATACATTCAGAGGGATCACAAGCAGCAGAACTCGTTTCTGGGCCACTTCTATCTAAGCTGAAGTGTTTCTGATTCAGGAGGTTGTATAGTACCATCAGAGCTAGCAGCCTTCAGTAGCTGAGTCCTCCATGTAGTTGTCTGGTGCTCTTTTTAAACCATTGCCAGATCTGATGGCAATGAATGCCATGTTTTAATAATGTATTGTGTAAACAGCTGTGGTGCTTTTAATTTTTTGCTGTTGTCCTGAATCTCCTTGTATGGCGTGTGGATGGCCTGTCAGTTGGGGAGAAAAGCATCTTTGTTCCCATTTTCCATGTTATGCAGAACTGTACAATCTTCTGTTATGCCCCCTGCCCCTTACTAGCCATCTTTCTAAGCTAAAGCTCATTCTCTTAAGCAGCAATGTTTGTCAGGCTTCGCCAATCTGTCTGGAGCCTCAGATCTACCTGGGCAAAGTGGTCCTTCCTTTTCTTATAACAGTTTTGCTTTTTGAAAAGTTCCATATTGAAATTTCCACCACACCTCGTATGTTCTGCAGTATAATTACAACAGGATGAAACTAGGTAAAATGTTACAGTATAATGCTTCAGACAAGAACTGTAAGGTAAAGACATTTTCAACTTGTACTCTATTCCTGGTGCCTGACTGCATCCAAGCAGTTTTCTTGGCAGTATTACATGTATGTATAAATCTATTGGGGAAGTGTAGCAGTTTGGAGTTACAGGTAGTCCTCACTTACCAACTCCCTTGTTTAGTGACCATTCAAAGTTACAATGGTATAAAAAAAATAACTTTGCGACCAATCCTTGCATATACGACTGTCATAGCATCCTGCCATCACATGATCGCCATGTGGACCCTTCACAACTTGCATGCATTTATGACCATTGTAGCATCACATGATCACCATCTGTGTGTTTTGCAGCTGGCTTGTGACAAGCAGAGTTAATAGAGAAGGTAGAAGTAAAATTGTAAGTTGCAGTCATGTGATGTTTTGCTTAATGACCTTGGCACTTCACTTAATTACCAAAGGGGAAGTGAAGTCATAAGACCGTTGCAGTCACATGATTTTCTGCTTAGCAACTGCGGCACTTAGTGACAGATTTGCTGGTCCCCATTATGGTTGCTAAGCAAAGACTACCTATAGTCTATTTTGTTACTTTTAAATCAGTGTTTCTCACCCTTGGCAACTTTAAGAAGTGTGGCCAATGCTGGCCAGGGAATTCTGGGAGTTGTAGTACACACATCTTAAAATTGCCAAGGTTGAGAAACACTGATCTAGAGCATTCAGCTGCAGAGATAAACATCCAAGGAATTACTGGTCAGTTCAAGCTAGCCTCTGAGGTTTCCAGAGTATCTTCCTTGAGTAGGAGTAGGCAGCTCTTTTGTACCCACAGCAGGTGCAGCAGTGGCACAGTGAGGACAGGTGGGTAGCACTGACATTGTCAATGAAAAAAACAGTGCTTCGGGTTTTTTAAAGTGTAAAGTGGGTAAGTTGACAGGGGCTTAATGTACCTTTCCTGACTCTTTTTTATTTTATTTTATTTTATTTTATTTTATTTTATTTTATTTTTTTTTTATTTTATTTTTTGCCATTAGTTTCAGCAGTAGCAGCTGAGTTTCTGGAGTTGTGAGAAATGAGCTAGGACCTATACAGACAATACATTACTATCACCGCCCTTTAGCAGTAGCA